CGCCCGCCCCTCCCCCACCCGCTTCCTCCCCCCCCCCCCGTTTTTTCCTGCACGGCGTGTGCCCTCGCTAGAAGAGGGTAAGTGACAAATCACCCCCAGGGAGGGCGGCCATGCTAATCCCTTCTCTCCGGATTCTGGGCATGCAAGCACCTGTCCCGGGGGTTACATCTAAACCACAGAGTATGGGGCTAAAACTGCGACCAGTCCTGGGGAGAGTGCAGCGTCTCCACTTCCAAGCCACCTGCTGCCCCCCCCCCAGCATTCGTTTCTTGGTTTTTCGCTATAGGGTGCATCTGCTCGCCAGACAGACAGAGAGACAGAGAGCGAGAAATCACCCCCCAGGGGGGATGGCCACGCCGCAGTCCCTTCTCCTCCATTCTCCTCTCGGGATCTTGGGCACGCACGCACACGCGCCGGGCGTGAGTTTAAGCCACCGGGTCCGGGACGCGAACCACAGTCGACTACATGGGAGTCCAGCGACATAGCCATTACGCCAACTGCTGGTCCCTCTTGGTTTCTTTTTTAAGGTTTTCGCCAGGGAGAGGGAAGGCAAGAAGACATAACGCACCCCCCAGGCCGGTCGGCAACTCCAGGCTTTCCGCACCGCGAGGACAGCCTGGACCCGTTCTCCGGCCCGACCGTAGCTATGACCCGGGTCTGGTACCCCCGCAGTGCGCCCCTTGCACGGCCCAGGCCGCCCCCACACCCCGTACCTGCCCACAGTAGACGATCTCCCCGGACGACTTCTTCATCTTCTTCAGCTGAGACACGAAGTACCAGAAGCGGGACTTGGCGACCACGTGGTTGGGGGCGAAGATGCGCATAACATCCCTGTGACCAAGGTAACAGTGGGTACATAAACTGTCCAATAATTTCTTCTTGATAATTAGACCTAAGTATTTTATATAGACCATATCTATTCCACAGTGAAATCCTCATGTATATCAAAACTTTTACCATGCACTGGACACTTCAAACTAAAGTGTATATAGCCAAATTATAGTTACTGCTAGCAACTCTAGATCTAAGGAATGATTTATCTCATATTTGACAGTTTTAGTTTTCTAATGAACATTCAGTGACTTAAATGATTTTATTAGGAAATATTTAAAATACGGACATTAATTAGGTACAGATTCCTTACAATAATAGCTCTTTCACTATTTTAAAACCAAAGAATTTGACAAAAATATGACCAGGGCAAAAAAAAAAATTCAAATGAATAACATTAAAAAGATAGGGGACCAGCAGGTGGTGTGGTGGTTAAGGGGCTGGACACTCCCACATGGCTTACCAGGGTTCAAGTCCCAGTCCTGGTGGCTTGCTTTCTCACTCTCTCTCTCTCTCTGTCTCACTCTGGTCAAACTAAAATAAATGAAAGAATAAACAAAATTAAATAAAATAGTTCTTTAAAATAAATAAAAAGACAGTACCTTCTTAAAAAAAAAAATTTTTTTTTAAAGGAAAATCACTCCAGGCACGTGTACATGGAGCCCCCAAATCCCCAAATGAGACAGTATTGCGGCATGGCCATGGGGGGGAGGGGGTTAGCGGTGATTTCTCACTTTCTCTGTCTCTCTCTCAGGTGAGCACACACGTTCTTAAGAACCCCCCGCACCCCAAAAAAGTAAAATTAAGTAAAATCGTCAAACAGTCCTGCAGCCTCCAGGCCCGGTGCTGTCATCTTAAACCACTCTATCGCCCTCGTCCTTCGGCCACTCACATCTAGCCACCGTTCTCGTTTACTCCGGGGCCAGGACGAGAACCCGGGTCCGGCTCCCCAGACCTGCGGCTGCCTCAGTTTCCCCCGCCTGCAGCTGGGGA